TGACTGGGAGGAGTCGCAGGATGTTCAAATACTTATTTTACTCACTGTATGTCCCAGTAGTTTTAAATATTTTCATTCATGTTCTGAAATTAAAATTAAATCATGCTACCTTCTTAATATTTAGTTGAAATGTTGTGAATCTCAGTGTTTTTGTGCCAAACTAGAAATGATTACTTTTATTTCCAGGTGATTTTTATTTTCACTGTAAACTTTATATTTTCAGGTCGTCTGTTCTTTATTACTTTGTTTTAAACATCCACAAACGGGCTGCTGGTTCTGGTGCCGTCTAGTTGTGACTCCTCTCTTCAGAGACTGAGGGAACCCTGGATTTGTTATTTAGTCTCAGCTGATGGATTCAGATCAGCTGATGGACTCAGATCAGCTGATGGATTCAGATCAGCTGATCTGATTCCATCAGCTGATCAGATCAGCTGATGGAATCAGGAGTGCTGCGGTTTGCTTGTAGAGTCTGTGGACTGGGTGCAGGGATCATTTTGAGCCAAGATGTGGGCCAGTGGCCCGGCAGGCTCTGTTAGCAGAACATGAAGACATGGTGCTGAAAGTAGAACGGCCTATGATTTATTACGCTCCTTTGTCTTGATGTTGTGCTCTGATTTTAAGGGATACAGCTGTGACTTATAGTTTGTGTGTTTTTCTAAAAGCCAGATGTTCTGAGACCAAACCCAGTCCACGTGGCCGTCACTGAGCCACAGCAGCTCTTGTCCTTCACCTTTCACACTTGGTGGACTGAGGCACATGTTTTGTTAAATAATGATTTTTAACGCTGTAAAACTCACGTGTGTGTTTTGTTTTTGTTTCAGGACAAGAAGAAGGAAAAGAAGTAGAGAGCTTAGAGGAGCAGCAAAATTAAAGAGAAGGCACAACCTGCTTAGCATTTGGTGCTTTTCACCTTGTCTTTTTTAATCTAACTGTTCTGTGGTCTCATGTTGTTTAAATTTGACCTATTTTTGAAGTGTAACGGGCTGAATGTAAGTTTGGTTCAGTGATGTTAGTCCCATCTTGGCTGCGGAGACTTCCTGCTGCAGCTCTCCTGCTCGGCCTGCAGGGGGCGCTGCTGGAAGCTGAGCAGGACTTCATCTTCCTGTTTAGTGCCATAAGTGAAGGAAACGATACTCCCGTTAGCCGATTACCTTTGATTACTCTTGATTTGTGTATTTATAGTTTGTCTCAGTGCTCTTTAGTGGAGTGTCACTAGATTAGTTTCTCATAATTTAGACAAAACATCCTTTTACTGTTTTGTTCTTCTTTTAAACCTCATTTTGAATAAGAAGTGAAAAGTGTGCTGGTCCTGAATCTGAGAGCCTGCCAGCTTCTTCCCGACACACTGAACTCCTCCAGATGGACGAAGTCGTCGGGTTTAGATTTGGGACGGGTTCAAGTGACACTGAGACATCTGTTCAAGTTCCCAGTTCGAACAAAGAGGACTTGAGTGGACCGCTCGTTTTGTAAATGGTCTCAAACTCTGGTGTGCGAGCATCGGTTTGCCAAACAAAGTGACATCAACCAACAGTTTGTCATTCTCGCATTTTGAACGTGTATACTGTGAAGACTTTTTGTTGGTGTGACACTGAAACTACTAATTTGATACGTTTGCTCTAATAAATGTGTTGAACATGTTGAACTCCGTGTTTTTCACTCAGTGCACCAATCAGCTGAGCTGCTGTTTCATTCAAGCATCGATGATCAATATTTGGAGACAGAACTCCCTGACCCACGTTTGGAAACTTTATTCACTCCAGTTTCAGTTTGGATAAAAGGAGTTGCTTTGCAGAACCCCAGTCAGGAGAAAACGAACTCTGATGTTTGTCCAGCTCGTTCATTTTGGAGCTCATGGGGCGTGTTCAGGTGGATGTGGTGCATGAAAACATGAAAGTTTCCACACCTCGTTTTATGAAAACTAAAATTCAACAGTGTTATAAAAGTTGATGAAAAATATTGTTCACATTATGGATAAATAAAGTCCCATAGAAAATCTGAGGTGAAGAAGATGTGATAACCAGAACCAACAACTCAGAAGAGCTGAAGGTCACGATCAGAACACCTGAGCAGATCCACTCCATGACACGACGCAGTGACGCAGGAATCCAGACAGCAGCAAGTCGTGCTGTACATGCTCACACGTTTCAGTGGGCCACCATTTTTAAAATCCTTTTTTATTGGTCTTAAAGTAATGTTCTCATTTTCTGAGGTTCTGAATTTGGGGTTTTCATTAGTTGTCAGTTATCAACATTAAAATAAATATTTAAAATATATCTGTGTAATGAATTAATATAATTTACAAGTTTCACTTTTTGAATGGAATTACTGAAATAAATGAACTTTTTCATGATATTCTAATTTTATGACCAGCACCTGTATATGGCAGTGGCCATCTTGGATTTTGACATGCCAACCCAATTTTTGAAAAGTGACTATTTTTTACACCTACATGTAGCCACACACCAAATTGGAAGTGGGTAAGCCACTTATTTTTCAAGTCATACTGAAACCACGGACGGACAGAGGGAGGGTATTTCCTCTTCACAACGTGGGACAAAAAACAAAAAACTGTCTTGAGGAGTTTGTAAAATTCTGTTAAATCACTTCTGTCTGCAATAAAACTTGGCAAAAACATTCTTACATGTTGTTCTGAAACAGTATATCAGAGAGTCAGAGTTTCTTTATTGTCATTCTCACCTCATGTGGTAAATGTGGTGGAGCGAAATTATGTACACAGGGTCCCAGTTACATCCAACAATAAAATGTATAAGAAAAACAGTAATAACATCTAAGATATGAACTAAGAAAAACATCAACTAAATATACACTAAGCACTCATAACATAAAACATTGAACATCAGCACAAACATGAACATGAGTCTGTGAGCAGATGTGCAC